TCCAGCTTTCATCACACAGTCTCCAGATTTGAGTCGGAGAATGAGCCGAGAGCGAGACCTACCCAGCCTGCCCACCTCCATGATGTTCCTATGCTCATCATCAAAGAACATCATGTCAGAAAACTGGACGCCGCTGTCAGCTTTCAGCCTGGAGACAGAACAACAGTCGTCAGACGGTCTAAGGTAACACACACACACAATGATTGATGCCACAAAAGACATTGCTATGGGTTTACTTGTGTCGTGTTCTGATTGTTTACCAGCGTTGCTAGGCGGAAAAAGAGCTCACCCTATACCTCTTAAAGTGAGTGACCTTTGACCCAGGGTAGATCTCTTTGAAGGAGATGTATTGGTTGAAATTATAGAGTGATAGCAGCTGATTGGCTCCTTTGGAATCAGTGGATCTTTGAGAAACAGAGAAAGACCACAGCTTTGATGTGTGTGTATATATATATATATATATATATATAGTAGTCAACAAAGTTGTCCTAAGACATGAACGGGTAGTGCTCAAAATGTATATATATATATGAAGAGTTCAGATGCAAAAGCCTCTAAGTGCCATTTGAAATTTTCTTCTAGAATGATAATTTTTATCAAGCTTGCATATTTAAGTTCAGTGATTTCACTTAAATGGCAATGATAATTACCTATTAATTGTTAGTTAAGTGAAATTACTGAACTTAAATATACAAGTTTGATAAAAATCATCATTAAAGAAGAAAATTTCAAATGGCATTTAGAGGCTTTTGCATCTGAACTCTTCTTCATATATATATATATATATATATATATATATATATATATATATATATATAGAGATGATATTTTTCTGATTACAAATCTTACCGTGATGCGATGGCGATCTTGAATCCCTGACTATGTAGTGAGCTCAGGATCTTTCCAGTATCTTGATAAACGGGGACAAAGGCAAATCTTGAATCTCGCACCACTCCGCTGGAAACGAGTCAGTGAGTCAGCAAAGAAACAACAGCAAAAACAACTGGGTAAACATCACAATGAATGAACAATATAGCTGAACACAAACCTGTCATCGATGTGAAAAGGTGGCTCAACATGAGCATCAGAAAATAATGGCCAGAGGGTGAAATCTGAAAAATAAAATAAATGTATATAACACACACAAACACACACAATGCAGTTCAAAAGTTTTGAATCGTTAAGATTTTTTGTTTTTAAAAACGCTACATTTATTGAATTAAAAATACAGTAAAGACAGTAATATTGTAAAATATTATTAAAAATTAAAAGAATTAAATTTGGCTTTTCACAATATTCAAAAAAACTGACCGCTCCCAAAATGTTGAAAGTCATTGTACACTAACTTACACAACTGTATTTTATTTCTAATAATATCTAGCCTATGTTTAGCCACCACACATCGATTAAAAAAAATAAATACATAGTACAGCTATTGTTACAGTAAAACTTATTTGGTATCATCCACGGGTGTCCTCACAAATATTCTGTCAAACGTTAATTACAAAATGAAAGATCACATAAGGAAGTGTATTTATCATCTCAATTACTGAGGTGCAGTATAACCCACAGTTATTCTGAAGTAAAACGCTGAAAATTACCCGTGGAAACTTACCAAGGTCGAATACTATTAATTTCGGTTTAGACATCATTAATTCGCGATTACCCATAGACTGTAAGAGAATAACTTAACCGAACTCGAACCACATGAACAGAACTGAACACTTTCGTTTACCGGCATTGCGGAAGTAGCGTCGTGACGTCATCGACGCGTAGGCGGTGAAGACGAAACAACAATAAAGACTGGTCTTGTTTCTATGCCAAACTACTATGGAAAAATATTGACGTATATATTAAAGATAATATCCAACAAGGTACATCAGTAACCTTTCAAGACACTAGTTTTGGATACTTTGATTCTGCCTGCTTTGTTGTTTTTTGTTGTTGAAGGAATTTAATAATGTACCTTAACACTACTCCATCCTCAGTAAACAAGGAAGCAATTAAAACAATTTTAAATTGTAATGACTTTAATTTGTAGTGTACAATGATGTATAAATTAGGCCTAATATCTAACCCTAAAGTCCTTTTTTATTATTTTTTAAATTTGTTATTTTTTTCTATCATCTATTGCTCTTTTTTTTCTTTTTCTTCAGTTCTTCTACCTTTATCCTTGTTCAGATGACATTGTACATATTGTTGTTACAGTAGTACAGACATGTTTGCAATTTTGTACAACACATGTCCATGATCGTCATGTTTGTACTGTTTGCAAGCATAATAAATGAGAAATCTAGAAGGGCTTACAATATGGATATGGTATTTACCCATCAATAAAACAATATGTACTACTTCAGAGAAGGGTGAATTAAAAATCACACTTAAAAGGGAGGGAGGAATTTTTACCCTCCTCAACCAGCTGCACATCAGCCCAAAATGTAGAAGTAACCTGACAGTAGGCTATAAACAATAGGTGATAGTGTTTCAGGAAGAGAAGAACAACAGCCACCTCAAAATGAAATAGTTTCTGTATAAAAAAAACACTAACTAGGTATTTTAATGAGTCTCCTTGACCTTTGGAGAAACCATGCCACATGTAAAGAAAATAACACTGATAATCAGTGATACTACGTTTAAGTTCTTCGTACCTTTTCATATTATTTATTGTGATTCTAACTATTTATCATTATGAGATAAGAAACACCCATTATCATATAAAAGATCTTGAATTAAACAGATTTCCTATTAATAACTACAGCTCTATTCTTCCAAAGAGTGGAGTTGTGAGGGGATTTTTGTGTTTATTTGTTATGAATAGAGACATTAATTCGACTGCAAGATTAAACAGTAATGGTGAAATAAGGCATCCCGGTCGGATTCCTCATTTAATTTGAATTCTGGGTGAAGAACCAACGTCACAGGAAACACTTCTAAACATCTCACTATAAATTACTCTACAACGCATTGGACCAAAGCCAAAAAAATACAAAAATATCAACGCCTCGGAAACGTCTGGAAATAGAAGTAAGCTTTTATGAGGAATTAAATAATTATAATACTTCTACCTTTGATAAATGCTGATTGAGTTTCACTGATAGTTTCACCAAGTCTAATTGCAAAAACACGACAAAGCGATTTGAAATTGTTATGTAAAAGAGTTCTCTATAAATATAACTTATCCTAGCATTTACAATTCACTTATCTTCTGTAATTGCCAAAATTCAACCCAATCCCATTTGCCAATTGAAGTTGTTCATTCAGACACAGTTTTAACATTGTTAAGCATTAACAGAACAGAATTACAAAAGGATTCACATTTGAACATATTAGTGACACTGAGCTGCCATTATTTCCTCATAAGAGAGAGTGATATGGCACTGTGATCAGTTAAAACTGAAGGAGAAATGTTACAGTCTTATGAGGAAAGAAAGATTACTACTAGTTCAACCAAAAATACAATCTTGAATGGAAAAGGACCCCATGTAAAATGTTTTTTTTTATTTTTTTATGTGGGTTCTTTCCACACTAAGAAATTGGGACCATTATTTTTCAGTAGCTACTTTCATCAAAATGTGTATGTTACAGGAGAGCCCTGTCCGTGACAGTTATCACAACCACACTTTCCTGTTTTAATATTAAAAAGCAAGCACAAACTACCTAAAAGCGACGCAATCGATGCCTGAATCCGCACTGCAGTATGTCTCTGCCATCTTTCATATCCTGCTCGAATGAAATGACATGAAATATCATGGATGTTCCAGATGATATCCCTCTCTGACTCTTTCCCTCTCTTCAGGCGTGTTTGATTAAACTCTCTTCTGAGCCTGAGGGCTGTGGTGTGAGGACAATGCCCACCAGAAGCGTCCGCCACAGGAGGCTGAGAGGAGCGGGGTTGCTAGGAGACATTCAGATTCCACACTCATCTTTGAAGAAGCTGCTATTGATGCATTCCTGGGATGACTGAAGTAAACAGACATGAAAGTGAAGCACTAATGATTTACAACCACCCTGATGTGTTGTGAGTAATTATTCACTCATTCTCAACCAATCATTCATAGATAATGTCACTGGTGAAAATATGTTAAGCTGTCAGATTTGTGAAAGTTGATGATTATAGTCACTCATCACTCGGAGTCTTGATTAACCCTTAAAAGCTCTGTGTCATATTTGATAGCTACTCAAATTTTTAAGACCTCTAAATAATCAAAACTGCTGAAAAACCTGTTGCACACAGTAACATGCCTTCTGTCGTCTGAATCTGATTGAGAGTCTATTCGTTTTTATCAAGCAAAAGGTCATTTAGCTAGTAGGCTATAATTCTGTAAGACTTTTAGGACTAAAGTAAATGAAAGAATAAATTTGATAGAAGCAGGAGGTTGAACAACAATGGAAAGTTTGATTCTTTTCCACGAACTTGTTCTTTTGGACTGTTTGCTTTAATGAACTGGTTAAAAAACAATTCACCAGTTTATTTAGGCTACATAATCACACAATGATGTCACATATAGGCTACGCAATTCTATTATTAAAGCATCCAATAATGATGTGAAACGCGGATGTTTTACATAAAGCATTGTTAATAAGTAAGGAATAATTGACGACGGGCCGTTAAATTATAAAAATAAAAAAAAAAAAAAAAATGCACAACCGAGGTTGTGATGTTGCTAGAGTATGGAAACTGTAATGCGGTCAAGACTCAAGACCTCTTTTTTTTTTTTTTTTTTTTTTTTTTAAACATTTTCAAAGAAAACAATCACAATATAGAACAAATAAACAGAAAAAAACAAAAACAAAACAAAAAAAGACTACAAGACAGGGGTATATAACTAATCAGAAAAAATACATATCAAAGGAAAAGATTAAAAGACTTGCATATTTCAACAGTTTTTAAAGCCTTCTTGTTACAAGAGTCAAAGATAATCCCAAAGTAGTGTTGTATTTCAATAAGTAATAAAACATTGAAAAGTTGTAATGCGGTCAAGACCTGCCTGGAACTACTTTAGCCGTGTGACATCACCGCCAGCCGGAGTGACTGCGGTTACACACACTAACACACAAAACATCTAAAACGGGAAAGAGTTGTGAGATTGACTGTATAAACATTTGACAAGAAATCTGAGGTAAAATATTTCTACAGACTTCTGAAAGCTACAGAAAAGAGACGCAAATGTAGGATACCGCTGCAATTCACAGAAACAAGTGGACTCCAGGCAGCGAAAGGTGGATTTGCATGTAAGTTATCATTTTGTCTCAATAATGCTGAATTTTGAGGTAAAATCATAGCCTATACATATTGTATGTTATATATTGTATCGACAACTCATCATTTAACAATATACCATCGTATATTTTGCTTAATTTTATGGTTTTTATTTTATTTTTGTATTTTTTTTAATAAACATTGACAAAACGATTGGCTACAAGTTTAAGGGTTGCAGTACACAAGATCCAGGGGGCGGAGTCGGCTCCAGATCTGAGGGGTGGAGTTGGGTAGGTTTAGGGGTGGGTTTAGGGATCAGGGGGTGGAGCTGGGTAAAATCATAGCCTATACATGTAAGGTGGGAGGAGTTGATCTGGATCCGACTCCTCCCCGTGCATTTCATGTTCTGCAGTGAGGACCATCTCGAATTTTACTTACCTATATTGTTTTTATATAAAGTGATCACACAGGCAGATTTGCTTTATGTATTTCCCTGGTGTCGAAATCAGCTTATTTATTTACAGTAGTACTTCCCAGTCTGCTCCACAGCTTCCAGAATCTACATTACATTTTTCCCCCCTTTGACCTGAAATGTGTTAAAAATGCCAATAAACCTCCATTTGACATTAAGTAAGAGCTTAAGGGTAATACTTTTGTAGAAACACCTTTGAGGACATACTGTACCTTCAGGGATGTCCAACTTCTTCAGGGATCTCATGATGATCATTAAGCTCAATGAAAAGACCAGTTTTAACCAGCCTAGGTGGTTTGCTGGTCAAACTAGTCTGAGTCTTCAGTCTATTTAAAGTGCCCAAAACTCCTCCAAAATTCGAACATAATTTCGTTATAATGCTTGCTGCTGTTGGCCATAATTACTGCATTCTGATTGGTGTAGAGGGACGGACGAGGCTGTAATTGAGGGTCATCAGAACTGCGGCTGAAGGAACTGAATGTAATGACCAACTTGATAATGTATGTTCAGTTGTGAGGATCAAATCGGCTGCAATCATTCATTCAATCATAGTTTTAAAATGCATTTTGGACAACCAACAGAAAACTTTCTTGAACTGCAAAAATACCCATTATGCTTCACACATCCTTAAACGCACTAGTGAGATTCAAAGAGAGTCATTTTTTTAAATTATTAAAACAGGTTTTAAATTTTTTGAATATTGAAATAGTCTTGTGAACTATTTTATCTGATTTTCATTCATTTTATGTATATATTTTGATGTTTTTATTTTCTATATTATATAGTTAAAAATATATGTATGGTTGTTTAAATGTGCAATAATTATAAGCTGAGTACATTCCTCCAGTTTTTGGTGACATTACCACTAGTCTACTCCAGAACAAACAATTTTGCCCCTAATATTTATTTATTTTTTATTTTTTTTTACAGAGCCTGAGATGGAATATCACACATTAAAGAAATTTCAAGGTAAATCTCACAGCTTTTTTATCGTGTAATTTCCTAGCACTCAGCCTGTAAGTTTGCCGAACTATGCAAAAAGTTTTAAAATATGATTTCATTGTGTGGGAATACATAATGTGCTTCCATACAGTGTTTAAATGGTCATTTGAGTGATGTTATTGTGAATTACACTACATCATTTGAGGTGTGGTGGAAATGTTCCTTACTTTCAGGGAAAAAAAAAAAGAAAAACATTTGTTTTAAGATATAATTTCTTTGAACGACAGCCTGCAAAATAGACCTTACAATGTTCCTTTTGTCTTTTGAACATTCAAAACCGACGGCTCATTTCGGGACACCTGAACAGATGCAGATTGAGTTGAGATTGAAGAACAGGAAGTTCACCCGCTGCTCGTCGTAATCAAATTCTAGCGCAATTGCAGGTTTAAGCAAGTGCACTTCATTCTCACTTCACGGATATATGCTAAGCGAATCTCTCTTTTCATTTCCATCTTTTTGTCATTCATTTCTCCTAAGTTCACTCTGCCTTTCTCTATTTGATCTGTCAGACCGAGTGTTGCTGCATTTCACTGTCCTCTTTCTCTGTGCTTTCACAGCAATTCCCAATTCTTACAGTCATTTTCCTCAGATGGATTCACCTTCTCCCGCTGAGATTTGATTGACAGGCTCTTAAGTTCAGATGTTGCCGACTAAACAGCCCGTCCCTCCGCGAGCTTCCCTTTGAAGACATCCGAATCTGTAGAGGATAGAAAGTACACGGAAATATAAAAGAACTCATTGCAAAGTTTTCCGGCTCGGCGCAGGTTTATGTAACCGATTTGGGTACAAATCTAATTCTCACCCCCAACTGCACACAAAAAAACATTATCTGTTAATCTTCCTGCAGAGAAACACTTTAAAAGTGATTTTGAGGGCAAGCGGGCATTTATTTGAGAATTACATTTTTTATTTTTATAGCCTCAAATAACGCAGCTGTGCGTCAATCTAATCAACACTCGGATCTCATTCATAATGCTCCACATCTGTAACTATGGTTATTGTAATACTTACGGGACTAGTGTATCATAATGCCACTCACAAGCCTTTATGGGACAGCAGGAATTTGTTTTACCTAACCGCGTATATTCATATTCAAACAATAATCAACGTTTCCCTGCGGGGAAGAGGAATCACAAATGAGACCTTTTTAAAATCGCAATTATTTCTTCAACACTGCAATTCCACAGTTCAATCGTCAATGAGAAAAAGATCCCAGGATTCTTACACGTCCGATAGTGTTTCAGAAAATGTCTCAAACTTTCTCAATCAAAAGTTAATTTGAACATTTCTCATCAAATTTGTCCAAGACCGAGTTATGGTAAAATATAAATTGTATTAAAGGAGTAGTTCACTTTTTAAAAAACTTTTGCTGATAATTTACTCGCCCCCATGTCATCTAAGATGTCCATGTCTTTCTTTCTTCAGTCGAAAAGAAATTAAGGTTTTTGATGGAAACATTCCAGGTTTTTTCTCCATATAATGGACTTCAATGGGAACCAAACGGTTCAAGGTCCAAAAGAGTCTTTCAGTGCAAACTGCAAACTGTTCAAAGGGCTTTAAACGATTCCAGACGATGAATAAGGGTCTTATCTAGCGAAACGATCGCTCATTTAATAAATAAATAACAAAGTTTTATAAGCTCAAATGGTCGCCTTGCTCTGTTCTGTGACGCGCGTTTGTGACTCCTGTTCAAACTTGTTCATAAAAATGAACGAATCTTTTTCCGAGTCATTTGGTATATTCAATGAACGAAACGAACCAAATGACTCGGAAAAAGATTCGTTCATTTTGATGAACGGGTTCAAACTATTTCTATTAGACTATTTCTAATTGTTAATTTGCTTTATTACCTGGCTCGTTCTTACATAGTAGAGCTCGTTCGCACATGCGCACTCGTCAAACACGGCGCTTTAAATCTTCTGACAAACTAAAAGACGTAAATTACATTTGTATGTATTCTAAATAAAAGGCACCGGTTGTACTGAATGTCAGCTTGCTTATTTTTCTCAAGATAAGGATTTATTACGTCCAAATGTGATGTAATATAGAAACAATGCCTGTAACCACAGGTCGAGAGCTGTCGTTCGAACCACACAACTTTGCGATGCTGTTTGTGAATGTTCGTTGGAACGATGGTTTCGGGAAACACCGACTCGTTAAACTATGCTGATAACGACAGAACTTGCGACCATAGTTGGCTAATGATGCTTTCGGGAAACGCACCCCTGATTGGTTACAAGGCCATTTGTGATGTCAGAAACACCAACGATTTCAAACCGTGTCTTTGAGACTTTGGTTCATTGCTGTTTTAAGCAGAAAACACTCAGCAATGGTGTTGACATGAATTTACTCATTGTCTTAAAGCAGATTAAAAACACCACATAGACATATAAACAACATTAAAAACTTGATTTTCACCACAGGGATCCTCAACCATCCAATCAATCCACAATAGGGAAGAAAAGGCAATCACAACTTCTGTTTCATACCGACTTATACAAAGTTTGTAGTATCTAAAAAGTGTATAAAATCATAAAGTGAAGTTCATTGCTTTGGAGTACTCTTAGATTTGTGTTTCCCTGGGGAAATACACAACATTTGCTTAATTATTTCTAAAGACAGACTGTTAAATCGCCAATTACACTGGTTGCTACATTTATTTTATTTAGTGTTAGTCCATTTATCCCATGGTTGCTAAGTGAAAAACCCAAACAAATAACAATCTGGATAATTGCAATTGACCTCAAAAGTCACTCATCACAACTCTTAGTATTCAAATACATGTTAATCTACCACAGCTTTCCTCAGGGATGCTTCTTTCAGGAGATCATGTGCTTCTCCAGCTCTGTGATCTAAAATCCATCCATCCGAATGTTCAAATTATGACCAAAAGTTTAGGTTGGGTGCTATGATTGAATATGACTATAAGTTTTAACAGCAGTCTAGTAAGATAAATGATCATCTGTTAATGATTTAAATAGTTATCTTGTGTCAGCTGGCAGCAAGGGGTCGGAAAGTGTGCAACTAATTTTCATGATGGATGGTGGAATTCAATTACCCTTAATCTGTAATTAAAGTGAGAAGAGGCGGCCAGTGGCTGTGATTTATTAGATCAGAAATGTTCGAGACACAATCAGGATAGCAATCTATAATTGTATATGTGAGAAGGGTCGCTCGCCTTATCCGAGTTTCTTTTTTGAGTCAAAACCTTTTTAGGATCTACCTTCTTAAAAATAAAGGTCCTTAAACATAGATGGAACTTTTCAAAGCTTAAAGGGATAGTTCACTTTGAAATTAATTTTTGATATGTTTTATCTTACCTCAAGATGTAGGTGTCTTTGTTTCCGCAGTATTTTCAATTTTGATATTTTTAGATCAAACCGTTCTTGTCTGTCAGTCATATAATGGAGGTCTATCTATGGTCACCACCTCAAAGAGCATGCACAGAGAAGTCCAAATTAAACATGATTTATTGACTCGTAAATGTAAGTACACATTGATGGCCTAAGACACGAAACGAGCGGTTTGTATTTATATTGTATTATTCGGTTTGTATTTATTATTTAAAGCGTCGGAAGTGATCTCCAGTGCGTGTACGTCACTCATTGTTTACACAGAGATTTCGGAAGCGTTACTGTGAAGATCTAAACATATTTAGATATGCAGGAAATCGCAATGGAAGACGATTTCGATATATCATTATCAACAGACAACGTTGAATTTTTTCCGCAACCGCGCGAGAGATAACTTCCGGCGCGGACCGATGCGCCTGTGCCTTCAGATCACTTGGAGGAATCTTTTTCTGAGTCAATTCGTTCATTTCGTTTGTTGAATGAACCAAATGACACGAAAAAAGATTCGTTCATTTTGATGAACGAGTTCGAACAGGAGAGTCACAAACGCGCATCACAGAACAGAGCAAGGCGACCATTTGAGCTTATAAAACTTAAACTTTGTTATTTATTTATTAAATGAGCGATCGTTTCGCTTGATAAGACCCTTATTCATCATCTGGAATCATTTAAAGCCCTTTGAACAGTTTTCGGTTTGCACTGAAACTGTCTTTTGGTTCCCATTGAAGTGCATTATATGGAGAAAAATCCTGGAATGTTTTCATCAAAAACCTTAATTTCTTTTCGACTGAAGAAAGAAAGACATGGACATCTTGGATGACATGGGGGTGAGTAAATTATCAGCACTCCTTTAATGTGTTTGTGTGTGTGTGTAGGGGGGAGGGTCTCAGGCAAAAAAAGGTTGGGAACCATTGTTCTATGGCACTTATTTTTAATAGTTGAGAAAACATGTGCTCTAAAGAACCCAGAAACGAATTTACTGATCGGAAGTAGCTGTAATGTCACATCAAGAACTTTTTTAGCTCTACAGAACGTCGTGAACTCTGTTCGGTGAATAATTAGGTTGCGATGAGTCCTTATATAAGAGTGTGAAGAACATTCCATGATGCCTTTATCACCACATGGAAGTCGGAGAATAAACAATGTGACGGTTTTTCAATATCGCGGCCAGTTTTGGAGCATTTCTAAGTGCATAAATACCATGTCTTGCCAGGTCTGGGATATCTAGCTCTGAGCAGGCGCTGAAGATTTGCAGCGATGTCAAATGATGTCAAGCCACTGGCTTATTTCACCAAGGTGTTTCACCAAGTGCTGCTGGGATTTTTTTCTGCCTGCTGTCATCAGACTGTACACCGCCTCCTCATCTTCCGGTCCTCACAGGAGTCTGGGCGGCCTCCCCTGGCACGATTAATGATGCTGTCTCTCCTCCAGGTGCTTGTGCAGGACTGAGCACTTTACAGTCATGCCGCTGTTTATGCATCAAACATCCTTTTTGGGGTTCATTAATGTCAAATTCGGTCTAGTGAATCACTTGATTCAGTGAGTCTTATGTTTTTTGTCTTCTTTTTGTTCTACATTTCAGTGCTGTTGGATGGGTGGAAGTGTGAAACGACCGACTGACGTCCAAATGAACGAACAATCTCAATGACGGTGACAGAACTTGCACATACACTACTGTTCAAAAGTTTAGGGTCTTTTTAATGCATTCAATTGAGCAAACATGGCAGTAAAGACGTGAAAATATTAGCCTACGAAAGATTTATGTTTCAAATAAATGCTCTTGGTTCATCAAAGAAATCAGATTTTACACAAAAATATACAACACTCATAATAATCAGCATATTAGAGTGATTTCTGAAGGATATGTGACACTGAACTCTGGAGTAATGATGCTAAAAATTCAGCTTTGATCACTTACATTTTACAATATATTCAAATAGAAAACTATAATATTTAACCATTTTAATTACTTTCTGTATTTTTGATCAAATAAACACAGCCTTGGTGAGAAGAAGAAACTTATTTAAAAAAAAAAAAATATTTTTACCAACCTCGTAGTGTAAATCAAGTCGAAACAGTAATGAAGAACAACTGCAAATAATTTGCTGTAAAAAGACAACTTAAATGGGACGTAAATCAGGGAATCATTTCACATTTACATGGACTGTCCGATCAAAATGATTCATTGGAATGAAGTGGATGGACAAAAACATTAAAAAGAAAACCTTTCAGACCTCAAACTTTTAAATGGTAGGGTTAGTTTACACTAAATACAACTAGAAACAACATGCTAATCTATAATAGCATATTCTTTCAGTATAAAAAGAAGACCTAAAGTGCCACTTGAATCAGTTCATGTCCGAACAAACGCTCACTCGGCTTGGCCTTTAATTAAAATGTGACTTGTTAAGTTACACTACAATTTGTTGGAAAACAACTCTCATGTCGATTTAATGCAAAATGTAAGTTAACAGCTGTAACACAATAACACCAGGCCTCTTAATAAAATCAAAATAAAGACAAAAACGCTCAATTGCAAGACTTCACCACTCAATTGCAGCTTTAAATCATTTCAATACAGCTGCCATTAAACTTCATTAGTTTCTCTGTGAAATCAAAAAATCATGGGGTATAAAATAACTGCCAGTATCTTGCAGCTAGAAATCTAGTTTATGAGAAAACAAAAAGAGAGTTAGTGACTATAATGACTCCATAATGGCACTTTAATGACAATCAATATTGCCCAAAAACATCCCATTCATCTTCAGGAGTGAGATGAGTCTGAGGAGGCTCTTTCGTTATAGTCACACACCACTACAATACATTACAATGCTTACCTGTTCCTAATTAAACATACACGGTACAGCAAAGGGATAGTTCACCCAAAAGGAAAATTCTGTCATTGACACTTATTTAATTAACCATTTGAAGGCCCAGAAAGGTAGGAAAGACATTGTTAAAATAGTCTGTGAATACAGTGGTTCAAGTTTGATTTTATGAAGTGACGAGAATACATTTTGTGGACCAAAAACAAAAACTAAATAACGACTTTATTCAACAAGTCTTTATTCAAGTCAGTCTCCGACGCACGTTCACAAGAACACTGTGTGTGTGTGTCTTACTCTGCTTGTCAAGCATTCTTTTCAAAAAATATTTATTGAACTTTTAAAATGAGCGAATTCAATAGCAAGTTCTTGGCACATTTCTTTTACACATTTCCACAATTATAAACTGAAACAACAATAATTTGAATAAAAAAAACTTCAAAATAAAAGGCATCACTAACATGGTAATTAAATTCATTTCATTTTGATATAGTTCTTTGGGCTTTTCGATTTTTTTTTTTAAACTTTCTTTGATTCTAAATCAATTAGCAAAATGTTTTTAGTTACATCATTTAGTTTGATGAATATACAATTTTCCTAATAACAAAAACACATCGATAAGATATATTTTTCTTTTGGAAAAGTCATATTCATTTGAAGTCTGACCTATGACCTATAAGCAGAGGAAGACAAGTTAACATCATACAAGTTAAAAGCGCAAAATAAAATATATTACAAAAGATAATGCATTACAACAAGAAATTATATTTTTTTAAAAACAGCATCATTGTCATAATTTTGATTTTTAATTGTTTTTGAAAGAAGTCTCTTCTGCTCACCAAGGCTATATTTATTTGATTAAAATACAGTAGAAACAGCAATATTGTGAAATATTATTGATTATATTTATTATAAGATTATATTATATATATATTATATAATATTATATATATTATATTTATTATATATTATAATATAATATATAATAAATAATAGTTTGGAAATTTGGAAATTATTATTTATTATATACACTGAAAAAAATAATATGCTTTATCTAATCAATAAAATTGTGGCAACATATTACAAGCAATATTATTAATTAAATTGTACAAATTTGAATTAATTAGAATGTTAATTTTATTAACTATTACTCAATTCTAATTTGTTCAATTTAATAAATAATATTGCTTGTAATCTGTTGCCACAATTTTATTGATTAGATAAAGCATATTCATTTTTACGGTGTATTATAATATTTAACATATACTTTTTTCCTGTGATCAAAGCTGAATATTCAGCATCATTACTCCAGTCTTCAGTGTCACATGGCCCTTTAGAAATCACTCTATTGAAAGCTACCGTCACAGTTTCCAGAAAATTATGAAGCAGCACAATTATTTTCAACATTGATAATAATAAAAAATGTTTCTTGAGCATCAAATCATCAATAGAGTGATTTCTGAAGGATCATGTGATACTGAAGACTGAAGTATTAATGCTGAAAATTCAGCTTTGATCACAGGAATAAATTACATTTTACGATATATTAAAATAGAAAACATTTGTTTTAAATTGTAAAATTATTTCATAATAATAAGTTACTGTATTTTTGATGCAGCCTTTGAAAAAAATCTCAACTTTTGACTGGTATATAGAAAATGGAAATAATAATAATAAAAAAAGATTTATCACATCCTTTAAGAATGGTGTGTAATCATATGCCAGTTGAATAAATATTAATATTATTTACGAGCCATATGAGATCATATCTGGTTCTCCGAGCTCGAAGGCCAGACATAATAGCAGGTAAATCCTTTTAATGGTATATGAAATTACATCTTTTTCAGCTCAGTCCGTTTAACCGGCAGTGTTAAATGTCATGGTTTATGAGCTCAGCGACATATCTCCTCATTTTATGTTTATTTGAGGACTCATAATAGTTAAAGATCTTCCCCAAACTCATTTGCGTTATAATGGCCACAGAACTTTGTCCCCTTGCTGTACTCGAGGTAAAACGATTGTGTACATGTGTTGTGACTTATTACTGCCATATTTTCAAATATCATCTTTTTCACTGTGATTAATTCTAGAAGTGACTGTTTCCATGGTGATATTCAAATGACTTACATCAATTTCCCTACTTTTCTTTGATTCTACATCGTTAAAATCCCATAGTTACCTCCGATACCTTTGAGATCTGTTGTTTCGTAGCAAAATGATTTAACATCAGGTTAATGCGTAACCAGATTTAGTTCTCATCCCCGTGGAGCTAACCTGTGCGTGCCGTCTAAACTCTTTAAAAAAAAAAAGGTTGTGACATTCTTGAAATTGAATTGAAAAACTCTCTTATTGCTTTAATATGAGCACAATTAACTTGTTTTGATTCTTGTTCTCACTGTTCAATGCTGTAAATGACACTGTACATGAGTCTAGACATTAAAACAGAAAGGTAAATGGCAATTTTACAGGTTATTGTTCTTATCGCAAAAGCGGAGGTGGAAATGTCAAACACACGCTGCTTTCGGCTGAGATACGCTTCAGAAAGAAGATTAGCCGCCTAGATTAGACACAGTCAATTAAAAGCACTTTAAACGCTGTTATTAATGCAAATGCACAAGCACAATCCTCTGGCAGACGTACAATGGGAAGAATACATTATGTATGGATGTAAAAGAAAAACAATCAAAGGGTGTTATTCATTAGCATGCCAGAAAATTCTGCTTTCAGTGTTTCTAGCTTTATCAAAGAGTGTGAGATTGCATAAGCCTTGACAAGTCAACTATGTGTTGAAAAAACAGCAACAACAAACAAATCGGGATACGAATACAAGGAAGGTGAATCATGTAAAATCAAAACCATCAATTCCAGCTGCATTTTTAGACGTGACAGATGTGGTGCTCGCCAGTCGTCAGCTCCGACGGGAGTTTAATATTTTTCTGTGCGGTTTCATCTCCTTTATCTCCTCGCTAGATTCGGAATATTACCTGTGCATTTTTCTTAACTCTGGGAAAGTGCAACGTCAAAGCATTGACACATTTAATTTATGGATTACTTATTATAGTCTCTTAATGAATACAAATCACATGGTGAAAACTGTAGTTAGTAACATAATATATTACATTACACATTTTAGGTAACATAATCAGGCTACTTTTAGATTATTTTTGGCCTAGTGTTTGTATCACATAGATTTAAATAGGATAATCTTTGTACCATTTTGATATAAGATACAAAAAAAATAATAGGAAAACAATAGGAAGTGCATTAAACATTACATTACATCAGGGTTTTGGTGAGGGAAGTTTGTGTTAATAATTAAGTAAGTAAATGAGTAAGTAAAGGAATTATTAAAATAGGGTTGTGCAAAGATTAATTGCGATTAATCGCATCCAAAATAAAAGTTTGTGTTTACATAATCTGTGTATAATTATTTTGTATATATAAATACACACACATGCATGTATATTTTTAAGAAAATGTGTTATTCATGTATAAAATATTTATATTTATGAAGTAGATTATGTTTTTATATTAGGGCTGTCAAACGATTAATCGCGATTAATCGCATCCAAAATAAAAGTTTGTGTTAACATAATATATGTGGGTGCACTGTGTATGATTATTTTGTATATATATAAATACACACACATGCATGTATATTTAAGAATAGAAATATTATTTATATATAAAAGATACAATATAAATTATATATAAATCTATATACAGTATATACATGACATGATATTTCTTAAATATATACAAGCATGTGTGTGTATTTATATATATAAAATAATTATACACAGTGCACCCACATATATTATGTAAACACAAACTTTTATTTTGTATGCGATTAATCGCGATTAATCGTTTGACAGCCCTAATTTATATATATATCTGGCAATTACAAGCAAATATTCTTAAATATATACAATGCATATGTATTTATATATAGGCTACAAA